ACGACCTGAAAAATCAGGGGTTAGGATTTGCACCCGGTCGAAAGAAACCTTGCTATCGCAAGAGTAACTCCAGCTAGCTTCGCTAGCTTTTTCTGAAAAACCCTTGATAGGTCCAAACGGAAATGAATAGATCTCAACATGCGCCTGTAGCATCAAAAGCGAAAGCGGATACGTGGGAACTCGTGCCCGGTAGCTCTGTGTACCAATCGAATCACAGTTAGGAGCCCTTTAGAACGGCCCAGAACTAAGCCCCACGCACATCGGGCAACTGCCGGGATCTGGATGCTCCGCGCTCCGTCAGCGCACCCGACATGGCGGCCATGTTTGGGGGGGCGGTGGGCAGGCGGCCGCAGGCCACGCAATCTGTCTCACAAAGGAACTGGGTCAAACGGGTTGAGTCCAGCGTGCTTGTTGTTTCTGAAGCCCTGTCCGTTGGAAACCGTTGTCACATCTTGCCATGACAGTGAACCTGGTGAACCCAAATGGCTTGTGGTGATGGGAAACGAAGGATTCCTGCAAGCAGCAATCTCACAGGAAATATTTCACTCAGACATGTTTCTCGAGATTGAAAGATTCTTCGATTGAACCAACACATTGCATGTCCTCACACTCTGATGGCACACACTCCTTACGAAAGCGTACGAAAGCACATCTGCCATCCGTCAAAAAACACTGGATGCTACTCCAAGGCCACGCATGCTCCAGCTCGGGCTCGAGGTTTTGGGTGGAAAAAAAGTGCCCCTGGTTTTGGTTTGTTTTTGTATCACTTCATCCCAAAAAGTTTGAACTTGCGACCTGGTCCATCCTCCATCGGACGCTGTCCGGTGCTGCGCTGTTCTTCACGTCGGCAGCGTCCCGCGCTGATACAGGTCATAGAAAGCCATCCACGGATGACCAAAGCTCTCTGATGTATTTCCTTCAGGAAAATATGCCGAGAACATTTCGGGCTTCAGGCACACTAGACATGGACAGCTCATTCCCGGCATGCTAGCGGCTTTGGCCTCAGCCCACATAGATCTAGCTGCGTTTAGTGCGTCCTTCTGCAGGGTTGCCAGGAAACTTGAAGATGCAGACTTTAAGAGTGCTTCTTCTTCTGCAGAATGTTTTAAAGGCGCTAAAGAAATGGTGGTCAGCTGCCGGATTGCTTCTTTGGCCAGAGAGTTGGCATTCCAGCCTTCTCCGCGAAACATCCAATCTTCTTGCACGAACATGAGCTCCAGCACAAAGGGCTCCCGGCGCTCCAGATCAATGACACTGTCTGCCACTCCAAAAGCCATGTGCTCCTCACAGTTGTACGGTTGCTCCTCCAGATCACTGAGGGGATCCCGTGGATCCCGTGACGAAGACACCGAACCGGTGACACGGTGACGCGGTTTCGGTCTTTAGATGGTCATCCAGTCATCCTTTGATATCAAACATCCTTTTGCATGTATGGTTTAATGCAAAACAAAGATGGCTGGGTGTGCCTTCATTAAAAAAAGCGGGGCTTCCCGAAGCCCCTTGGTCCCGCTTCGATGAAGCATTGGGTATCAAAGTGGACGTAGACCAGTGCGAGATCTGTTGAATATGTCTTCGGCGTGCACAAGAAGCGCAAGTGAGGAAGTAGACAGACTAAGTAGACACACACGTACAAATGCGAGCGTGGGTGTGGAGTGTGAAGTGCAAGTGTAGAAATGCAAGTGTGCAATTGCAAGGGTAGAAGCACATGTCCCAGCTGAGGACAAAAATCAACCCATAGGGCTCCCTGCGCGCTTGCAGCCCCTTGTTTTCAGGCAACTGGAACATTTATTTGCGGTGCAAATTCCTGGCGGATCTGCATGTTTGGGTCGGCAAATTGATTGCTAATTCCGTCTTTGTGAGTTGCGAGTTGCTGAAAATTATGAAGCTGCTTGAGCTGCTTACTGCAACCAGGTTCAACCCCAACCGTCTCAACCCAGGTTCAATGTGGCTTTAAACCTTCAAAACTGGATGGAATCAGGTCCCAACTTTGAAGCCAAGCCCAACTGGCACCACTGGGTGCCTGTCGACCTGAAAATTCGGCCTGTCCTTGTTGTGGCAGGACGTCTTGTTGTGCGCTGCTAAGAACCCTCGTGTGATCTTCTCAGCCACCTGGTCAGCGATCATCCCTGTGTCCAAGCCCTGCTTGGCCAGTACATCCCGCAAGTCGTTGGCCGAGCCAAAGAAGCGTTGGAACTCTCGGTTGGACCCGGGTTTCATCTGGGCATTGGAGATCAGAGCGGGTCGCCGTTGAGTGACCGTCATGCTTCGAAGTTGGTCTTCAGGAATGCTGGGCAAACCGGTCGTCTTGTACATCACGTGGCCAACACAAACATAAACACGTGGCGGGTCCATGGAAGTAACAGCGAACCAGTGACGTACTTCGACTCTGCGTTCGTGCCACAGAGGCACTTTCATAACAGCTCTTTGCAAGGTGTGGACTTTGAATTGCTCAACTTGGGATAGGTCTTGTACTGTCAAGAAAAATATCCCAGTCCCCATGGTCTCAAAATTTTTCTTCCCAACCCACATTGACTGCTCTCCACCAGACTGCCGGGCGAGCGCTTGAACACTTTGGTTCAGGATGCCATGTGGGGCGGAAAAACATTCTGGCACCACCCGGAACTCCACTCCCCGCAGTTCGCTTGCAAGATTTGAAATCTTGCACAAACCAGATTTGCTGCCAAGTTCTTCCAATCGTGGATGGTACGCCACCTTTCTGGAGCCCTTGAAGAGGGTGTTGGGTTCACATCTGCCAATGTGTTGCTTCAAATCACCCACCTTGCCATCGCACAAAATCACCAAGTCCGTCGCGCGGCCGCAGGTCTTGTACGAGGCATCGACCTGTCGAGTCCGTCGGTCGCTTCACGGAGTCCGTCGCGAGAAGAAGGGCATCGACCGAGCTGAAAATGTGCATCCCTTAGGAAAACCGTGGCATGACTCAGTTGGAACTATTGAACCCAAAGCAACATGCGGACAAACACCGGCACGGGCATGAGGAACGCCAACGTTGGCGGATGGTACGGGGAGCTCATCGAGATCAAAGCAACGTTGCGCACGCACCACTTCGGACGGACTTGGGCCACGCGAATGCGCGGGGAAAAGGGCATCATGGGTCCAATTCTGTTGAGATGGTTTTGGATGCAAAAAGACATCAGATCGCTCACGGCCGGCACCGAAACAATGTGTTCTATAGGATTTGAGATGCCTGTGCCGGCATTCAAAGACTGCATGATGTGGATTGAATTTGGGCGGGTTGGCACGCAGAAACTTGAACTAGACGGTGAAATCTCGCTTCGACACACACGCACATACATATACATGTGTGAATATGTATATACAAAGATTCTGACTCCCTCCGTCTCCCTGGAAAATCAAGGTCAACAGTTGTCCACCTGTTCTTGCTTGGTGTGGAAAACGAATCCCAAAAAAAGCTTGCCCAATTTACCCACTGGGTAGACAGCCCAGGTAGGGACCTTCGGACCGTGGACCACGGAACACTCGCGATGCTCAACAGGTTGACCTGGTGTTTTTCGCACCTTCGACCGCCAGGCACTCCGAACAAGAACCTGGCAGCTCTTTGCAGCCAGTATGCTGGTAAAGAAGGGACATTGGGTATCCACATCTTGCTGCAAAAAGCGGATTTTGTCCCTGTCTGGAGGAAAATGACCCATAACCACATATCTACGGTGACAGCCCTAGTTATTCGGACAAAAACCTTATCGTCTTTATCAACCAACTCCTTTGATATAGTCTGGCAATTTGTCCAACACTTTCAACATTGCTTTATCATCATGTTTTGGTGTTTCGACTTTTGGAGCAAGATGTGTGAGGTGTCGGTATTCTGTACTGGCACATCTCTCCTGCATTGCGAGTTTTTGAGGGACAAAACTCACCCCATACCTGAACTTGTGCGGAACGTACGGCACAGCTATTGTGCTCCCAACTGATCGTTCGACGCTGTCAACCTTGAGAGTTTCATCGTGCTCTTTTTGACCGCTGCTGTAACAGCAGCGGGCACAAAACACCGTAAAATCCGTAAATACATGTTTGGTCTCAGCGGAGCTGAAAGCATTGGTGGGTGGACTGTTTTTGGATGGGGGTTCAGAAAAAGAACTGTGAACACCGTTGTTTTCTTAATATAGCCAAGGGACAAAGAAAGCGTCTACATGAGTGTTGGCCTTATCTACACTAGTTACGTATACAGTATAGACTCATTGAAAAAAGCACATTCTGTACCAAGTCTCCGTCATGGAAGGTTCAAAGCCGGCTTCTCTGATGATGTAACTTGCGAAGTCTCGCTGGGAACTGCTATCTTTGCAGTGGCTCAACGTCACCTCAAGGTCAAACATGGCGTTCAAGGACACACGCTTTGACATGGTGTCTACAATCAGTGCTGTTCCCTTGTTTAAACTGTGTTGAGGGCTTTCCCCCTGAGGAACCCAGCACCAAAAGGTCAAATATCATGGGGAACAAGGAGGAAGCTGAGGATCCAAACAGCGGAAGTTGAAAATGGCCGCCTGTGAGGAATCAAAGTATCATCAAGTATCCAAGTGCAGGGCCACTCAAAGGATCCCTGCTTCATTGATTGCCCCACTTCATTTTTGGCACCGAAAAGTGATCTCTGTCCGGGTCGTTTGTGCTGTTTGTGATTCTGAACTCATTGACCGCACCAGGTTCTCTGCTTCGACACATTTGTTTCAGCCCTGGCCTGTAGCGGCTGTGGAGTCTGTGGAGTCTGTGGAGTGGTCAGGGGCCTCAGGGGCCTCAGACCCTTTCTTGGAAGATCAAAGCTTGTGGTCGATGTCGATGTTGAGGACGTCGAGGACATCGAGGACGTCGAGGCGAATGCCAAGGATAGTGACTGTACCTGGCAAACCCAGTGTTGAATCGGTCTCAAATGAGTTGAGCCGTTGCCCCCCACCCCGTTGTTGGATCGACCTTGTTGCTTTACATGCTTCTTATTGCCTTTCTTCTTCTGTTCCTTATAGCCGTTTGAGTTCAGGGTCATTTACACCACATCGACACAGAAAACTGGCCATCGACACAGAAAATGGAACGTCGCGTGTTGATGGTGTCTCACCTAGAGCTTGGCCCTTCAGATTTCATCTCCACACATGTCTTGACTCACCCGGTGACCCGAGTGCCTGAGAAGTGTTCCAACCAAAGGCACGTTGTATGTCCTGCGCCGAGCTTTTTCAGACTTCGGTGTGATCCGTTGATAAAACAGCCAGCAAGACACAAAGATGCAACGAGGGGATGCCCAGAGTCTTCCGAATGCGGATTTGAAGGTGAGAAACTCACCATGTTTCACAGCGGTCCGATTTTGGTGCCACCGCGGAAACATAGAACCAATTCTGATGGCTGATGACGGAAGTTGACAGTTGACGCTGACTGATGCAAAAAGGTCAAAATGAAAGATCCGAAGGCCAAAGACAACAAGCAAGAATTGTTTAAGCTGTCATCGTCGGATATCGTCGGAACATGCATGACTTGGGTTAGGTTAGTATTCTTCCTTTCCTTGGGAACAGCTGATCTCGGCTTCGCCTTTTTTCACTTGTCCCATGTCCAGCCTCTCTCGCATCTCCTAGCAGCCAGCCAGCCCGCCGGAACATCAGGAGCGCAAGCAGGAGCATCACAAGCCCAAACATCCCGCCGACCAGCTTGAAGGACATCTGCGTCACGACAATGACAGTGCACCAGACAGTGTGAGTGAATGCAAGTGTTCCTTGCCAGGTGTTGTGAAACAAATCCTTGTATTTCCGTGCTACAGTCGGTCCAAACATGCAAATCTGAACATGCCTCAGGGCTTTGACAGGAGTTGCAACCTGCATGCCATTCATGTCAGTTGGGCCATGCTTGAGCAAACGGCAGATCTGTCGTGGAGGCCATGATCCTGCCAGTAGTTGGGCCTGCTATTGGGCCTCCTTCCGATGGCCCCATGGCCCCTGCTGTGCTGTGAACACCAACAAGGATACTTCCCAAAGCAAACCGAAAGACGATTGCGAATTGCCGCTGCCCGAGTCGATGCATTGCATTACAAATCTGGGTTTCGGTCATTTCTTGCCCACCCTGCTTCTATATTAGTTGTGAAATTGACTGCCTCTGTGGAATTGACATCTCTGCAGTAGTGTTCAGGGAAATCTGGAGATGAGAAACGGACAAAATCAAGTGTAAAGCAGGTAATGGATAAGGTCCCTTCAATATGGTTGTCGAAAAGAAAGAGACTATAATGAATTCCTATATTGCAGACCAATTGCACATACTGTATATTAATCTTTGCCCTCCTTTGGCAGTTGTTCCCCACATGGCACACAATGGACATGGGCGCCCATTTATCAGGAGCTAATGCAGAATGTCTGTCTGCGTGTGATTGACGAAGACCATGACAGTGCTGGCAAACCATGTACAAATACTTGCGGCCTTGCGGAGAAGCTGGCTGGCCTCTTCATCGTGGACCCATCCACGAAGCTTCATTTTGCTGATCACAGCAGCGTTGCTCTGTTCATTCACGTGGCCAACACCTCCTTGTCCCTTCGCTGCCCAAGAAAGCACAATGCCCTTGGAAGCCCTTGATTCAACGTTCTCAAGTAATTGACCTTCGTACTGTTGTGGCACATGCTCAGCCACTTCCATCATCACAACCCAATCACTGAGGCCGGCAGTCGGTGGCAAAGGCTTGGAAAGATCTGCGTACCGCACAAGCTGTTTAGTTAGTGCTTCGATATTTTCAGCGCCGTCAAAGGCCATAACGCTTAGGCCGCGTTGTTGCCAAAAATGGGTGTAGCAGCCACAGCCTGCCCCGAGCTCCAAGACACTTGCGCTGGTCACGCCTTTGGATTGAGCAGCAAACTCCTGCTCACCTTGAATCAGAGCAGCAACTGCTGCTGCAAATTTGGCGTCGAGGAAATACGCCTTCTCGCAGCTGGTCAACTTCCACGCGCCGGAGGCCGTTGGCGTGGTTCGGCCGACACGGGCCATCGTGCGGGAGGTCAGGCACTGTGGTGTGTACTCGCTCCGTCTCCGCGTCTCTGTTGACGGAAGAACTGAAGTCTCTACAAACACCGGCCACGGAGTCTCTAAGACCACAGGCCTTTCTTCAGGCCTTTCTTCAGGCCTCCCAATCGCTGTATCTTCAGCATCTCTCACTGCCCTTGTGGGCGCTGCAGTCTGCAGTGAGAGCCTCTGAGAAGAGATCTGGAAATCCCCCCCAGCTTGGCGTGCCTGGAAGGAGAGCATGAATAAAACAACCAAGGCCAGAAAAGCTACAACAGTCAGCCATCGCATCTTCGAGGAACCTTTCGTCAAGCGTGTCTTTGAACTCTGGAAAGTATTCCTATGTCCTGTGTAACGGTTAACATGCTGCGGAAAGCCTTCCTGGATATACTCTCCGATTTAGGGCCCTCTGTCAGTCTGTCATGGCTGATGCTTGACTACTAATGAGTTCTGAAACACCAACAAGTATCGTAATCTACATTTATTGGTATCATCAATCTGCCAGTTTCTTCTAATCTTTGAACCATGGCGCTTCGTGACCAGCACGTCCGGCGGCTGCTTCGTGGATGATTACATGCACCCCATCAGTCTGAAGGGGGATCCCCCAATTCACTGTCACCCACCATTGCAACAAATATATAAACGGATGCGGAGCCAAGGCTCAAGCTTCCACGAATCGTCTCAGGAAACACGGAAACACCTCACAGCGATGCAAAAGCACCCATTTCACAAGACTTAAGGCTTAAAGCACGGGTTTTACTTGGAAATGCTGCACTATGCTGTCACGACTGTCATCTCTTCAGTTGACGTTCTGGAGATTTCAAAGTTTGTTTCAAAGGAAACAAAACTATCACTATCAAAACCTTGTTTCTGAGAGCGCTCTGCGTCTGAGCATGCAGCCCAACATCAAAAAAACTGACAGCTCGGTGCTTTACCATTTACCCATAGCTCAAGGCACAAAACGCAACCCTTGGCTGGAAGAAACGAAACCTGCACTGACTCACTTACACACGTTCATCACCAATCGCGTTTGAGGTGAGGCCTGCACCACTACACTGCAGCACTCACAAAGACACACTCTGTTTGAATCGGCTGTGTGCTGGGGTGGGGCTGAAAGCACCACACTCAAACCAAAACAAATCAGACCGGCATCGACAACACGATGTTGGAAACTTTCGGGTGTGCATCTGTGTGCTTCGACAAAAGCAAGTGAGGTTGCATGGCAACCTCATGTGTGCATGTCTGCTCGTGCATGCCAAAGTGGGAGAGACCGGGCAAATCATCTTGTCATAAGCAGCACACCAACGGACACAGGAACACAAAACGGCAAACCATGTCATGACAGCTTGTCGGCTGTCGCGAAACAAGAGTGTAGATGGTTGGCTTGCCACCCTTCAGACACAAAACCTATTCCAGGGTCCATTCTCCCACATTTCTCTTCTTCCAGGTGGCGACCCCCGTGCTGCCCTGAGGCGACTTTAAAAAGCATCGTTGGCCACTCTGAAAGTGACCATCACTTGACCTCAACCAAAGTTGTCAGATATAGGCGTGGTTTCGGGTCCTTCGGGCTTGCGGGTCGCAGCGTGTGTCGTGTGACTTTTCCATCCGATTTTGCGGCCTGCAAGGCACGAGCACAACATCCAAACAGCAACGCAGCAGGCTGTGATCTTGAAAAAAACTTACGTAAGTAGATTACAATCGTTCTAAACACAAAGCAAATGCACATGCAACAGCTCACAAGCAAAGCGAAAGCACTCGCACCTTGAGCCAAAGTTAAGTGCAAAAGGCTATGGGGTATTCCTACTGCAAGCAATTCGCATGCGAGACACTGGAAGTGTCGAGCCTAAACGCACTCAAAGTGCACAAAACTGTTCAAGAAACATTCACACTACAAAAGCTACAGAAGTTTCTTTTGACAAAGCTTCCAAACATTGTACACTCCATGGGCTATGCTATGCTCTCCAAAGCTCTCCAAAACACTTCGAAACACAAAGTTCCGTAAGGAACACTTGCTCAAACACTTGAAATGCAAAACCACGCACTCCAAAAGCAAAAAACCTCACAGCTATGGCATTAGCCTGCACCTTGCTACACCACACATTTTCACAACCTCTTTCGAGGTGAGGCTCATTCACTCTGAGCTGGTGGTGACTTGAGTAGAAGCGGCCTCATTCTTCTCAGTTTTCCGCTACTTGGCAGTAATGATCTTTTCGCATGCCCTGCATCAACTCGACTAAGCGCCTTCCCTCGAATGTTATGGCATAGTGGGCTGCAACGAGCTACCGTCCCAGCACGACAGACCTCTGGCCACTCTTTCCAGAAAGTTGGTGGAACCAAAACTTCCAATGGCCCTTGTGTAGTCTCCACTCCTCGAGATACAGACAATTGCGTTGTCAAAAAAAGGGCATTCACTTCCTCATATCCATGGCCATGACGCTCGTTTCCATTGATCATCACATTGACACCGTGAGACTTGCAGAAAATCTGACTCAGCACAAATCCCACCATTCTGAAAACCACTGCCAAAACCATTTCGAATTCCCGACCATCCAGCATATGAAGTGCCGCTTCCATGGCCATCGCACGCGTCCCAACTGGCTGCGGATACAAGCAGTCAGCAAGCACGGCAAGCACAGCGATCTTGAACCGCGCAAAAACAAAATATAGAAGTTGCATTCACTCTGAATCTCAAGATCTTCCATGGCTTCGCCAATAACATCCTCCGACTCCGATCCTCTTTCCAAGAGACATTCGACCGGCCTCGAAAAACTCTGGACTCATCGTGAAAACTATTACCTAATTCCTGCGACACTCGACATTCGACACTTCTTTCAAAAAACCTCGAACCTGGACAAAAGACTCTCTCTTTTCACCTCGTCATCTCGACTTGATCGAAGATCCACAGTGCTGTAAACACCATCGGGCGAAGTCCCTTTTCGGACACGACAGCACACTGCATCACGCACAACCGGCATCCCTCCTTGGGAGTCAAACGGAGCACCGAGCAACGCGCGAGCGCATCGTTCTGTCTCTGTCCAGTTGACATTGTTGAAAGCCACATGCTCGACAACGCACTGACACTTGAACTTCCGCTGATTCTGGTTACAACAGCCTGAACCTCTTTCCGACTGGTTGTTGAGTCTTGGTGAACATCTTCATTGAACATCCATTGAAATTAAAAAATATTCTCCCAGCACATAGCAAAGACGCAGATCAACTCAGTGCTCCAACATACAAAACACCCGTCTCCATGCGTGCCCACCCAAACATGAGTCTCGACCACAACACAATTCGACTGGGCAAAAAAAATTGTGCTCCCAACGACCACGCAGCAAATCCAAATGCAAGGAATCTGGCAGTTGAGGTTACAACTGCCTGCTCCCAAGCAAGCTAAACACAGTCTTGGCGGCCAAGCACTCACTTGCGCACCCCC